CAATATTTAATTGGAAATATGCATGAAACAATTAAGAATTAATTTAATAAACGAACTAGTTTGATTAATGAATTAGTTTAATTAATGAACTACTTCCTTAAATGAACTAGATGATTTAAATGCAATGCATGCTTAAATGAACAACACACTTATTAAATGCAATGAATGTCATGCAAATTCATGCATAAGCAACGTAAAGTGTTTCTCCCTTATTATTCCTCCTTCATCACATTCCAAACTTGATGTAAACATACTCTCCATGGCTGCTTGAAACTCCTTACCCCTTGCTCGTGTGATGGGGCCACTTGGGTACTTCTTCGGGTCTTTGCTATTGGTGATAATATCAATCCCTCCCTCTTTAAGGCGATTTGTCCCCAAATCGTCACCTATATCATAAGGAGACAAGTCAGCAACATTGAAGGTTGCACTGACATTAAATTCACCTCGAAGATCTAATTGATAGGTGGTGTCATTGATCTTCTTGACTATTTGGAATGGTCCATCTCCCCGAGGCATTAATTTGGACTTTCGTTGAGCCGGAAACCATTCTTTCCTCATGTGCAGCCACACCCAATCCCCTGGCTCAAAAGTAATCCGCTTACGACCTTATTTGCTTGCAAGAAGCAAATGATTGGTTCAAAACATTACTAGAACTGTCACAACGATCCAAGTTCTCAACCATGGCGAGAAGGACAAGAGTGTACCATAATGGTCCTTCATGCCCCAATCCAGTTCTAATGATGTATTTTATACTGAACTTGTTTTCCAATGCTCAACTGATCAATGATCTTCCTAATTTTTTCAGTAAGATGTTTTGATGCCCCTGAATTAGGAATTTATGACTTAGATTAATCCAAAAGTGAGTATTAAATCAATGAGCATTCGGTATAGGATTTTTGCTCAATGCAAAAATGTACAAGTATTAATTTAGAGATGAACATGAGATTTACTTACAAGAAGAGATTTAAATAGCGATCTACTATTAGAATAACTGTCATTATATAGTAATAGAAGTATCGTCCAAAATCGTTATTACATGATTATAATACTCATGATCACAGTAATAATATCCCTTATGTCCACAATTACAATAATCGCAACACATCCACAATTTAAATGATGCTTAGACTATAGCCTCTATCATAAGAAATCCTTAAAGACTTAAAAGGTTACCGAAAGGGCTCACCATATAATTCCTGCACATGATAATTTGTTATGTACTTTCCACAAATATACATTGCTTCTTGAAAATTACTGGGAAAAACCAAAACAAACGTAGCTTAATTTGGTTGGTAAAGAGAAAAAACCACGGAGAATTCGTTATTCACAAATTAAAGAATCTTCATTTTCATTTCTTTCTTTACATTCTTTTTTATTACTCTCAATCAAAATTACAGAAAACACTAAAGACCTCGTGGAATTTGTTGAGGAAGCCTGACCGGACCTGGGAAGCAGGGGACCGAACAGCCACGCCGTGCCAGCATATACCACCCTTACACATCTCGTGCACTTGAACGGAAGCGGCATCTTGATGAATGATGATCACCGCCGGAAATTGCGTGCGTGGCTTTACGACTGACGTCCAACGTCAGGTTCCCGACCAAGATCAAACCCACCACCGTGCTCGACGCTATCAGCACAAACCCACCACCGAGGCTCCGCCCGCACACTAAACCAAACGCCTTTATCCCCGCTATCACAGCCACGTATATCATCATCAAATTCCCAATCACCGCATCAGATATCGCCATATCCGCCCGCGGTTCACAACTCAGAGACTAGGTGCAGCGTTGGCTAAGATAAGGGCGCTGATGAGCAAGAAAAAATGGAATCTCGTGGAAGGAAAGATATTTTCCAACGAGTTAAATGAGTCGTCCCGGGCATGTCGGGTTGGGGTTTTAAATTTATTAAATTAATAAATATATAAAACAGTGGATTGATAAAGTAAAATGGAGGAAGGCACCAAAGTATTTATAGTACACCAGCCGATTTTTTCCTTCCAATAGCGTAACGCCACGTTTCTAATCTAAGCTATTAATTGAGATAAGTACTTTGAAATCAATTCTATTAAAATTTAATTTGTGTGTTTTTAGATTGTTATTTTAGAATTTAACTTTAAAATTATTTCACACTATTTTTTTTATATTTTTGTTAAATTTATTAATTTATATTTATATTAAGCTTTACATAATATTATTAAATTTTACTTATATTTTTAAGAAATAAGATAAAATTTCAACGAGTTTAATTAGCAATGAGTACAAATTAAACAATTTTTATTGAGTATCAAATGGGGTCGAATATATGTAGAACAGTTTTTAAATCAAATTAAATATTGTTTAACATGTCATCAACTCGCTTGATAAACACTCTTAATGTTAATGGATGAAGCGTTGGACAAGAGCGTTTGTATTAGTTTGTTAGTTCTCTTTTTGTATATATAAAAAAATGGTTTGTTAGTTCTGCCTCTTCGAAATGGACATGTTTTTTTCCCAACATTTTGTTTTAATATTTGCTCATAACTAAACTCGTTGAAATTTCAACTTGCCTACCAAGGGGATAATGGTGAACATTTATTGTTACGGGTGTGAAAGCTGATTAATTAGTTAGTTTAATGCTATACATAATTCCAATTCAAAAGAAATTAAATATTCATAATTCCAGTTATCATTAAATAACAATATGACAATGCAATTCAATTAAGTTCCATTACTGATCCATGGCATCAACAACACTTATCATTTAAGCAAAGTACAAAAATGTAAATGTCATGAAAGAAAACAGTCGTTTCTTAATAGAATCTTCCTCGCATCTGGTTAATGAATGCGTGAAGCTTAAACATTAAAGCAGAAGAGGAAGGAATGCTTCTCATCAATTAGAGACTGACAATAAGTAAAACAAGAAACAAACCACTAGAAGCTTTCAAAGAAATACCCAGAATGTCAGCAGAGACTATACATGATGGCTTGCTGCTTACTAGAATTTTTTTTAAAAAAATTGGTTGACACGGATGGGGATACGAGCAGAAAGAGCTGGTAGGTTGATCGTCTTCGTCAGACTCGAATCTTCCACCGATCACAATATTGAGCAAAGTACACCACCGCCACCATTCGACTTTTGCTTGTTTTTCGGAGGCTGGAGCACTACCTTGATAGCCGCATCAAAAACTGCCTTCACATTCTGAAGTAAAGCCAACACACAAGATCCTTAAATGATATGTTTCTGCTAAGTTTACATGAATGATATGTTGAGAAATGTACCTGCTGTGTTTTCGAACTACACTCGATGTAGGCAGAAGACCCTATCTGTTTCTTTAATTCCTCTCCCTTCACAAATAAGCAAAGCGAAGAGTAATGCTGAAAACAGATGAAACATATTATCGTTGAAAAGCACAAAACACAATATGATTTTAACATTTACCTGAGCTGCAGAAATGGGAATTGCATTAGGATGGTCCATGAGGAATTGTTCGTCATCCCGAAGATCTGCGACAGCAACGAGTCATAAACATGATATCATTTAATGAAATGGGAAGAATTTATGAAACCCTTTTAGGCCATTAGTGAATCAAACCAATTGATCCACAGATACAAATATTTAAAGCGCATATACCGCTATCGAGGGAGCAAGAATCATCATACCGAGCTTAGTTCCAACGAGAACAATTGGAACCCCAGGTGCATAATGCTTTAATTCAGGAATCCACTGAAACCGAAAGCAAGAAAACACATGATCACAGCATGGTTAATGTGTTAACAATCGTCTTATGATGCATAAAATTATTATTATAAAGGGAAGGTATCCAATGATTAAACCTTCTTTGCAATGTTTTCGTAACTAGCCTTGCTGATGAGAGAAAATGCAAGAATAAAGACGTCAGCCCCACGATAGCTTAGTGGTCTCAATCTATGTAATCCTCCTGACCTGTTCCAGGGCAATGATTTCAAATCACAAGCAAGAAAGAAACCGAAATTGGTAAAAAGAAGATATCCAGAAGTAATTTCGAAATTACCAGCAGTATCCCATAAGCCTATGTTGACAGTGCTGCCATCCACAACGATATTTGCACTGAAATTGTCGAAAACAGTTGGGACATAGTCCTGGTACCATAAGAATTTCAAACGCAAACAGTTACTAGTAAAGAAAAACATTAATATTGGATTCACGGAGAAGATATCTCCTTGGACACGATATCCCTGCATTGTTTATGAGAGAACAATCGAGCAATTTCAATGTTGATGAAATATTGAACAGAGCTCACTCGAAGATCAACCGATACGGATCTGATTATACAAAAATCAAGAAAATACTACGATCATGCAGAAAAAAGGAAGGGAGATCGAAAAAAGGTTCACCGTAGGGAAAGTGTTGCTGGTGTAGGAAATCAGCAAAACAGGTTTTGCCGACGGCACCATCGCCGACGTGACGCACTTTATGAATTTCGAGGCACTCATTTTTCCTATTAAAAAAAATCAAACCTAATTGTCTATAGTTTTATTCCTTTTCTTCTCCAAATCTTGGAATTCTTTTCTGTTTCTCCCAACAATCCGGTGAATTGCTTGACGCTCAAGTAGCTGTTAAAGAAAGAATGAGATCCAGAGGCTTCATCGTTTGTCTTGGCGAAGCACAACTAACGGGGGGAAGATTAATTGGAAAGCGGGAGTGAGTGAGCAAAGAGAAAATGGAGAGAGAGAAAAAAGAATGGCGAAAATTTGGGAAAAATGAGAGGGGAAAAGGAAAATAACGAATCACAAATGCGGTGGAACCGAAATCTGGCCTATAACAAACTCTTGCCACCTAACCCCCTCCATAACAAACCCTTACTCATCAGTTACCACAAAATATTTTCATTCAAAAAAAAAAAATAAAGCCATTTTTTATCCAAGACTCACATTCCTCCACAAATTTGAAAATCATATTCCAAACAAATCATAAAATGTTTTTTTTAATACAACAGATTCATCATGTATAAGATCTTAATGCTAAAACTTGATTTATTTATCATGGATGCTCCTTCACTGCTGTAAACTGACCAATGTTTATACACACCGTCAGCTTTCTTTGTTAGCTCTTCGTGCCTGCCTATTTCAAACTACCTTCCTTGTTCCAGTACCGCAATGCTGTCGGAATTACGTATCGTCGATAACCTATGCGCCACGATGACCGTGGTGCGGCCTTCCATGAGATTATCCAGAGCCTCTTGAACTAGTTTCTCAGATTCTGTGTCCAATGCACTTGTGGCTTCATCCAGGAGAAGGATGGAAGGATTCTTCAGGATCGCTCTAGCGATCGCCACTCTCTGCTTTTGGCCTCCTGATAACTGGACTCCTCGATCGCCGACGTTTGTTTGGTATCCATCAGGCATTCGGCTGATGAATCGATGAGCATTAGCTGCTCTTGATGCTTTCAGTATCTCAATCTCTGATGCATCCTCCTTCCCGTACTTGATGTTTTCGTAAATGCTGGTCGAGAACAATGCAGGCTCCTGTTGAACTAAACTCATTCTCAGCCTTAGAGATCTCAGGTTTAATGTCTTAATATCATAACCATCAATCAGCACTGCCCCTGAACTGGGATCGTAAAATCGCATAATTAGCGCGATCACAGTGCTTTTCCCTGATCCACTCTGTCCAACTACAGCTAGACTCTTTCCGGCTGACATTTTCAGGTTAAGTCCTCAAAAATGGTTACATCAGGCCTCATTGGGTACTTGAAACTAACATTCTGAACTCTATATCTCCCTTGATCTCGCTTACCACCTTCGATGTGGAATCATTAGGTTCAATTGATGTTCTCCTGTGGAGAATTCTGAAACCGACCCGAGTGCTTGTGACCCCTTCACAATATCTGGTGTGAGAGCCAATGTTTCTGCCACGGCCAGTGCTGTGATTATCAAAACCATAAAGGACTTCATGATGTCACCGAAGTTAGATTTGTTTTGCTTGATTAGCACCGATGCATACCAAAGGCCAAGGGCGTAGGAACAGAACGCAAAGAGCTGAGATACACCATAACCAAAACCTGAAATATGACCTCTCAAGAATGCTTGCTTATTTGGTTGGTTTAGTTCTGAGGCAAACTGGATCGATATCTGGTCTTCAACACCAAAGGCAGCCACAGTACGAATGTTAACTATTGCTTCTCGTGCCACAGCAGTTGCTCTAGAGTAGCTATGGCCGTAATTCCCTCCGAATCCTTTGAGAAACAGTTGCTGCAGTTATCAAAGAAATAATGAATAAAAAACTGGAATAGAAGGCCTGAAGTCATTAATAATTGAATAAGTGGTCTCTAAACCTTACCTCAGTTATGGAAGCACCTATGAGTAAGGGAAAGGAAGCAATAATAACAGATGCAATACGCCAGCTTAAAGTGAATGCAATTACAAATGCTGTTACTGTAAGTGCTACATTCTGCACGATTGTGGATAGCCGATCAGCTAGAGCACTACGTACAAGGGTTGCATCCGCAGCTAAAGCTGCTGTCAGCGAACCAGTATTGTTCTCTTCCAAATCAAACCAACCAACCTCATTGGAAAGGATAGCTAAATATAAAGAATTAAATTGTACGTTAATCTACGGTGCAAAGTCGAGAGTAAAATTTCATATTCTAGAGGATTTGCAAGTAATGATTGTTCCACAATGGAAAAAAATTATCAAATTCATCTTCCTAGATTGAGAAAGGAAAGAACCTGCGAACATTGATAAACGGACACGAGCTGTGAGGTGCTCTCCCATTAAGGTGTAGAAATAGTGTTGCAGCAGATATATTGGAACGGTAACAATAGCCAGACCAACAAAAATAAGAGCCACCCTTTCAATCTCTTTCTTAATTGAAGATGATCAGGAGAGTAGAATGCAGTCAAGACATGCGTGATTCCGAAGGCAAATAATGGAGCTTCCATGCCCGCCAGAGTTGAACCAACCGAGCCAAGCAGTGCATAGGGCCATTCTGGTGCATTTAGTTTAAGTAGTTCCCATATCGAAGGATTAGGTACAGAACGTTGCTGAGACGAGTTTTGATAACTTTTCTCCAATCCCATTTCTGTAACTGATGGTGAATCCTGCCCAGGATTTTGACTATCTTGAGGTTTTCGGAAGCTAGAACTTACAGAAGCATCAGAATGACATATAGAGCTTGAATTTGCAGTGTTTTCTGATACTTGCAAGCTCACTAGAGCCGCATATTCGCCATTCTTAGACATCAAATCCATGTGGCTCCCACTCTCAACAACCTGGCCATTCTTCAAAACAATGATGGTGTCGACGTCTCGAATAGTAGATAATCGATGTGCCACAATGATTGTTGATCTATTTGACACAATCCTATCCAGTGCCTGCTGAACTATGAGTTCTGATTCTGCATCAAGAGCACTTGTGGCCTCATCTAGAAGCAGTATCTTTGGATTTCTCAACACAGCTCTTGCTATAGCAATTCTTTGTTTTTGACCTCCAGAAAGTTGAGTTCTCCTTCTCCGACCTAAATTCAACAAACTTTCAAGTATCACACTGGAGGATCGGTCACAGATAGCAGGAAAAGTGAAGACAGCCTACTCATTATCAACACATGTAATAAATATCTTACGCTTTTTTCCTACTTGAGGAACAAAAAGTGGCCTCTGAGAACATACCTGTGTGTTATAACTATCAGGTAGTTCCTGAATGAAAGAATGTGCATTAGCAGCTTTGGCAGCTAATATAACTTGCTCCATGTCTGCATCTTCTTTTCCGAGTAGGATATTGTTTGCTATTGTTGTGTCGAACAGTGCTGGTTCTTGACCAACCAATCCCATTTGTTCTCTCAACCATTTAACTGCAGATTCTTAAGATCATATCCGTCCAATAGTAATTTACCTGATAATGCTGGTGTATCAGCCAAGAGAAGCAAAACTATACCGTAACTCAATTCATAATCTCCAAAATTGTGGTACTTGCCTGAAGTGGGATCATAGAAACGTTGAACCATGGATATGATGGTACTCTTTCCTGAACCACTGGGACCAACAACAGCAAACGTCTTCCCGGCATCTATTGAGAAGCTTAAATTCTCAAACACCGTGTGAGGCCTAGACGGATAAGCAAAACAGACCTCACGAAACTCAATTTTTCCAACAACTTCTGGCAAAATAGTTTCACCATCCGACTGTCCTGAAGGCTTCGAGTCTGCTTCTATCATGCTGAAGATATTGGCAGCAGCTGCCCGGCCTTTAGCGATTGCAGCAAGGTTTGGTGCTGCTTGACCTAAAGCACTACAAAAGCGAAACTACTGTTTTTTTTTTATCATAGAATACGATTAATCGAAGATAAACTCCCTGAAAATTTGTTAGAACATTCGGATTATACTTACAATCCACTAAAAATGACATTGATAATTGTAGTAAACGCTTTCCCTCCATTTGTTTTACCATGTCTGACAAGTATGCCGGCATACCAAAGAAGAAGGGCCCAGGCACAGAACAGCAGACCATATGTAAATCCAACACCCACCCCTTTTGCAAGTCCACTTCTCTTCCCCATTTTAAGAGCATTTGTAAGTGAACTAGAGTATGCTTTAACTGCTTTTTCCTCTCCTACAAATGCGTATACCGTGCGAATCTGTGAAATAACCTGAACCAAAAGGAAATATGAAACAAGATTGAGAAATTAGTCTGCATGCATGACCGTCAAATTAAATTGAAGATATGTCAATGTTCTTGCTAAGTTTGAGAGCATGGAGTCTACTGCCACCAACTACAAATCGATAACCATCAGAAGCAGATATGTTCAGTATCATTCCAAAACTGTAAGAGCATGGTGTTTCCTGTACCTTGGAATTGTGTGTTCAAAGAAAAAAACCTTCTTAAAAATTACCTCCTCCGCGATCTTCCCAGCTTCAGCATAAGCAGCCTCACCCTTTTCTGATAGAGTTGACATAATTATAGTATAAGCTCCGCCGGCAATGGCTATCAGTGGAACTACAGCCAAGGTGAGTAGTGTAAGCTGCCATACAGAGGTAAACCCAATGGCAAAACCGACGACAAATTGCGAAAGGTAACGGAAAGCATGGCCTGTCTGCGCCAAGATACAAGAGAGTATTAGTGAAATATCATACAAAGTCTTGAACATTATGAGAATCTTTATGTTCCTGTTTATGGTAATATACCTTGTCTCCTATGGCATCCTGGACAAGGATTGCATCACTGGAGATATGAAAAATAATGTTAGAATCTCTGGCTTCATTGTCAAAGAAGCTTATATCTTTTCTTAAAACTGACTGAAGATATTTCAGACGCAACAAGCCGTCTGTCTCCCCAGTTTGCATCCAGAACGCAACACCTGAAGAGATAAAATCAACAAGGATGTTATCAAAGTACTACAAGGAACTTTTAAGAAATCGAAAAACTGTAACAGCTAGAGAGGAACAAGAAACATGAAACACACCTATCCATGCCGATGCGAAAACAACAAGACCAAGGTAGACCAAGTACAAAGCATGCTGCAAGGGGTTAAGAAGTGTCAAATCTTAAGCAAAATCTTGGCAATTTTTTTGTTATGCTATGAAATTTTTTAGAGAGATTATGCACTCATTTTTTAGACTCAAGCTTCATTGTTACAATGACTCTCCAAATCAAACACTTTTCAGTAGAATTCAGATTCCTGATTTTGCAAATATGATGCTGGTTTCTAATTGGAAGAAAAAACAGAAGTAATTAAGTAATTTCCAGATAACATCTGAACTCTTGGTCTAAAGAATTTCGATAATGGATTTAAACTGAAATGATGAACTTGCATTTTTACTCAACTCTAACCAATAAGCTTGATTTCATCACAAAACAAAGATATCAGAATGAGTAGTCATTGAACACATATTGAGCTAGCTTAGTAGTAGTACCTCAGAAACACGAGCAGACAATTTGTGAGGATCAGAAGACATATGTCCTAAAGAATCTATCATGCGTCCAAACAAAACGAAGAACACCGGAAGAGCAGCCCCATGGATGCACGCCCCTAAACTTCCAAAAACCATCAACATGCAATCTAATTTATCAGCAGCAGAAAAAAGACCAAAGAATGAAACAGGTTTCCTAGGGGTCAAATTCGACAGTTGCTCCGTTTTCGGTACTGAATTCTGGTCACTCAGCTCTATCTCTTCCATTTTACAGTGTGGAACAGGGTTAGGCCTGAGAAACCCCCGCAAATGTTTTGGAATTGATTAGGAGAGGTGATAAAAAGAAATGAAGCAAAAAAGGAATCGCATCATGGAGTTCTTGTGTTGGTGTTGATGGCAAGTACTCTCCCGCTTCTTTAAATGTAAAGTTAACATAGTTGGCCAACCAACAACTCGGCTTCTTAACTGTGCATTTGAAAATAATCAGTGCTAGTGATGCACAAAACATCAGTCAATTCACAGCCATTTTCCAATCAATTAAACCAACAACCAATGCCGGTTTTGTTGTTCATCCCTTTAATGGCCACCTTTTCAGTATAGTTGGAGACATTTACTTCTCCGGGCCATTAACGACCATGGCGTTGAGAGAGAGTGAAAGGAGTTAAGGACCACTTGCATTGTTCAACGTTCCAGTGGGAGCATGTAAAAAACGGTACTTTTTTTCCTTTTGAGCTTAAAATCGCTCTCTGCTTTCCATTTTCAACGGTGGAAGAGAAGTATGGATGATGTTTATTTACCTCCAAATTTGGTTTTCTCTACAGGTCTACCAAAAATTTCTTGCGAAACCTATCCTTGTGAACATTGTGTTAAACTAGATGTCGCTTTCGGCCATTAAACTCTGATCAAATTCAACAGATTTAGTCTACGCTAATTTATTTTCAGAATTAGAGCTTGATTATGTTGTCCAGCTAACCGATAATTTGCATACGAGGGTCTCCATGCTTTTAAACAAGGGTAAACTACACCCATGACCACTTAACTATGAATAATTATTTAAACCTTACCGATCTAATTATTTGTCATTAACATTTAATAGGAGCTAACACAATAATTAAAAAATTAGTATATTTATACATTTGGTCCTCATTATTTACATATTCAATTAAGTTAGTCTTAATTTTAATTTAATTCAATACATTTAATTTTTCTAATCATCTAATGACAATAGTGTAATATATTATTTAACTGTCATTTCAGCTCCACCATTAAATGTTAAAGGAAGATGATTTGATTGACAACGCTTAAACAGCTAAGTGATCTAATTGATAAAATTAAAAGATCGATAGTCAAACGAGAATCTTTCATAGTTAAGTAGTCATTAGTGTAGTTTACCCTTTAAACAATAATAAAGAATCTACAGAATTCAAGACCTTTTGAGTTTTTTCTGGCCATACTTGAATTTAATATTTTGGGACCAAGAAAAGTGGGTTGATTGATGAACTTGGGCCGTTTGGGCTTCTAAATGAGCCACATGAATCCGCCCCTTCCTGCATCTTCTAGGGTTTTTTGTGTATAATTTTCTGAAACTCAGACCAGAAACAAGGGTTTATCGTTTATTTCCTTCCCAATCAATTATTGGCGGGAGCTGATTATTTAAAGTTTGCAAATACCGGATTGTTTCCTTCTGTCGAGGTAGCTTGTTGTTTTTGCATTTTTTTTAAACAATTGTTGTTGGTAGAAAGTGGAAATCGTGAATGCATATAGTAGCCTTGGGCAATAAGTGTTTGTAGTTGTTCCTCAGAGAACCTCTTTGTAGTAGCTTCATTGGTTCAATTTCCCTAGTTTAATGCTATATAATTCACAAAATTTTACTAATTTCAGTTCCTTCTGGATCTTATAAAATTCACCTTTCAATGGTTGTTTGAAGGAAAGATTCATGGCATATTCTCAAGTACGTGACTTCATGTTCTGTAGCTTGTGTGGGACAATGCTGTCTTTGGTTTCAGCTAAGATTGCTGAATGCGCTCTGTGCAAAACAAAAACAAGTGCTAAAGGTATCCACTTGACAACCTACTTTTTATCCATCTTCTTCATTCCCTGCTTTGCTGAAATTGTTTTCCCTTGTCTTTTAGGTATTTTGGGCCGAGAAATAGGTTACACACTTACTGTTGAGGTTTGCCTTCACCTTTGGTACTTCTATTTTGTTGACAAGCTATCAATTACCAATTATATGATCATCACACCCCATGGAGAGGGAATTTTAATTTTTAAATTAACGGTCTTTTAATTGATTGGCTATGTCGATTTTGTTTCTCATATAGAGTGAAGGTTTACAAATGAACTGGAATATTATTTTATTTTTATATATTGAGATGTCTCCATTGGCTGGAGAGTGTAGCATATGGCAAATGTGGCATTTGCTTTCCGATGGCCATAGTCTCCCTTCATGTTCTTGATGCTACATCATTTTACTTAGAATGTTTTACGTTGTGCAGGACATTCGGAGAGACCTGGGCATCTCACATGCTATGGAAGAGATGAAAACGGAAGAATCGGCGGCGGTAATTACTTTTATGAAGTTAAAGATAGAGGCAATCCTGAAATCTGATGCTCACCGTTTTAGTATTATTTTCATGTGCAGTTGATCAAGCAGACTTGTAAATCCTGTGGAAACACGGAGCTCGAGTACACTACCCGACAAGTAAGACGACATCTCAATAGATAGTTTCTTTTTTATGCATAGTTGATTCCTAATCATTTTGACTTATTCTTTTTGCCACTTCTCCTCTCTCTCATTCTATACAGATGAGATCAGCGGATGAGGGGCAGACTGTATTCCTTGTATGCCCGAAGTGTAAAGCAAGGGATACCGAAAATTGAAGGAGGGACCATCGAGAGGAGCAGATGAAGCCATGAAGGTTAAAAGTAGACCTTTATTCCAAATTTCTTGTCAATTGAACAAAATTTTGTTCCGTTGAATACATGTAGAATATATCTGTAATTTTTGCTATTAAGTGCTTTGGGTAATTTTGATAAGGGAATCTATAATGCTATGTTTCTTATTTACTTGATGTGGGTGGAGGGGAAGGAATGACAGACTATATCATAGGTTGCTTTCATTCATTGAAAGAGTATTGCTACAATGCTTCTTCAGAATCTAATTTTTATGTATACTTGCTATCTGGCTTGATTGTGTCAATCTCGTGTTTTTTCGTGCTTTTTTCTGGTCTGTTTCTTCGCAGGGTGTTGAGAATTAGAATTAGAGGTGTAAATGAACATAACATTTGATGAATTATTTGTAAAGTGTTCGTAGAACGTTCTTTTATGTTCGTTTATTAAGCTAAATAAATGAGTATGAACAAAAATTTTATGTTCATTTAATAAATGAACACAAACAGAGGTGTGTTTGGTTCGTTTACTTTCACGAACAAGATTGTTTATCGGTTTGTTTATAAGCTTGTTTACTCAATTCTCCTTTTCCTTTTATTTTTTTTTACGTTCTAAATATTGATGAATGTAAAGACTAAATTGAACATAAGATGAACTTCAAAGCTTAAAATGTGAAACTTAAGGAATTTAAGGATTAATGGTGTAATTTTTCCATTTTTAAGGCTGCAAATAAAAGGATAATAAAAGGATAGAAAGAGTGTTGTTTGTTGAACATTAAACGAACATGCCCGTGAACATTAAACACAAACATGTTCGTGAACGGAAAATGAATAAGTTCGCAAATGATAAACGAACATGTTCACAAACGTTTAAAAAAACATGTTCACGAGCATTAAATGAACATGTGTGCGAACGCTAAACGAACAAACACAAACACCTTTAAAAATAAATAAACGAACATGAGCATGATATTAAAATATTAATCGAACACGGATAGAATATGACATCTTTAAAAATAAACAAATGTACATACACATGATTTTGTTCGTTTAAGCTCGATTTATTTATACTCTTAATTAGAATATGTATTTCAAATACATTTAATGTGAATGTACATATTTATTTTTATTATTTAATAGTTTTTTTCATGTAAGATAATTTAAATATACTAAATATAAAATATTTTAAAAAATAAACTATAATTTAAATTGTTGTATAGTGTTATATTTTATATTTTCCCAATGTTCTAAAAACGGATACATAAAAATCTCTAGTTTTTTACATTTAAAAAGCTATAGTAATAAAATTATACATAGTTGCTTATTCATATTTTCTTAAAAATTATCAATGCATATTATTTTATAAAAACAAAATAATTTTGGGATTAGAGAAGTTACATTAACAATAGTATAGGAATCCAATGAAAGTTTAAATTAGGGAAAACTACATATTTAGTCATCCAATTATCGCTTTAATTTTGTTTTAGTTACTAAACTATTTTTCTCATCATATCTAATTTTTATTTTTGATCACCCACGTTAATGACACTATTGACATGGTATTTTTATATATTTTTTAATTTTTGTGTCATTTTCTCTTTATTTTTAATTGATTATATGGTATTTTTATATAAATCACTTGACAACTAAAATAGAATAAACTTCTTACTTTCAATTAAACTAGGTTTTTCACTTTTCTCAATTTTCTCTTACTTTTATATCTTCATCAATTTGAGTTAAATCAAATTCAGATTGAACTCTAACAAATTAGTCTTTCATTCGATCATTGAATTCAACTTATTCTTATTTGATATATGTCGAAATCAACTTAAATAAGGGAAAATCCAGGATTTTCTTGAGGGGACCAAAAAGAAATCATAAATTTTTAAGGGTAAAAACATAATCATTTTATTGGACTAAAATAAAATTTCATAATTTATTATACAACTATAAGCAAATTTCCTACTTTAGAGGACCAAGGAGTAGGTGTTGTGGGAGGAAGCCACTTGATTGAAGCGATCATCAATTGCTGGCATTACTTTTATTCATTTCCGCGTCTCAAGCACCGCCGCTGCATGCTTTGTGTCTTGCCGGGAAACATCCTCAAAACCATTTCACTTTTTACAGTCTTTTGGTTCTACTCTCGAATTAATAATAAGCTACCCCTTTATCCCAACATTTGATTAAAGAAAAAAAATTGGGAAATTTATTATATATGTTGCTGTTGCATCCATCTCACCAAAAGTACAAAATGCTAATGAAAAAGCAATTCTTATCATCCACACGTAAAACTGCTAAAAGTTTTCAAATTTTGTCTGCTCGGGGAAGAAGAACAATATACTAATTAACTTTACATCTGCAGTCAGGTGCTGATCAGTATAATCCAAAGGTGGAAAGCAGAAATATTCTACTAGTAGTAGTCAACGTGTGAGAGACTGTGCTTTGACGTGTTTATCCAAAGATGTTGCAAGGGATAGCAATATGACGTAGATGCATATGTATACTATCAATGAAAGTCATTTTCGAGAAAGAGATTTTCTCTGATTTTGATTTGATCATTGCCTCCCAATATAACTTGTAAGATAGTGAAAAGCTCTTTATGTCAAAAACCCTTATTTAGATGCATGGCCTTCCTTCACTCTATATACAAGAAGCTGACTAGGAACCTACACAGATAAAAGTAGTATGGAATTTTCTTGTACTACTTTTATTTTCTTCATTTTCTTATCTAACTTCATAGAAATATATAGTTACTATATGCTTAACTTTATTTCCACCTCACTTGTTCATCTAATAATAGTTCACGACAGGGATTGATCTAGAAGGGGCAAGTAGGGGCCGTCGCCTTCTAAATATTTCAAATTCGTATAGATTTTAGATTTATTTTCTTTTTATTCTTAACATAAAATTATTCGTCCATCCCTAATTCACAATCACAATTCACATAAAAATGGGGTAGGTTTGCATACATACATGAAAAGTTCGTTTAGAGACAACACTCTGGCAGGGGAGAGCATGACGGTTCAATTTGGATTGTTTTTATAGTTGTGGGATTGATTTTGTTGTTTAGGGTTATTATCTATACAATGACATTAAAAAACATTATATCAGCATGATGGTGTACGAATCAAGAGATATCACTGATTAAGAAATTGTTATTATTTATCGAGGTCTCGGGTTCGAGCATCACAAATATAAGGGTATAAGTGTTCAATGTCAAATGGTTAAAATGGTTGAAATTATTTGACGGATATATCTTGTATTGACCTTCGACGAATAAAAAAAATTATTATTGGATCTTGATGCCCTAATATAAGATTTTTAACTCCAAGTTATTAGCAGTTGAAATGAGTTACTATTATATGCTTAATATGTTGAAGTTAAGCGAAGTGATGACACTAAAAATTCAACATATATAGTTGTCTCAATTTGTAAGCTGCCTTATCCATTTAATAAACAAAGGCGAATATTTTATTTCAAACTTTAATAAACAAAGTATATATTCTAAGAAACAGTGGTTTTATCACTCTAAAGCAACCTTATCCATTTAGTACACATCAGAACCTTGAGTGGATCCATTGTTTTCTCAAATCTTAAGCAAAACATTTGGTTCCCTTTGGCTACCAACATTTTTTTGTTCTCCCCCGTAAATTTTATAAATCCTTTCTTTCTTAAAGTTTTGTATATCTATCTTTTAACATAAAATATTGCGTTCGTCCTTGATTCAACGGTCGAGAATAAGAACTATAAAATTTAGAAATTGCAGCCACCGTGGGGTTGAACTTGCAGACTCAATTGAATTTGAGGGGTGAGAGTCGGTGAATGATTCATATTCAGTTGACTACCCGTTGGTCTTGGAACAGCGTTGGCGGCTCTGAATAATGGTTTCTCGGTCGTGAGATTTTACCAACGAATGCATCTAATAAACAATGAAATTATGTCCATTTAATATTATATTTTGGTCTAATTAAAACTGGGTTGCTTCTTAATTTGTCTATTACATACACAACCGAAAGTTTACGTCTTCCATCCTTGATTAATCGACTTTGATTTCATTATTCCAATCACTGTATAGTTGATTGTTATTGGAAGGATGGCATGACTGTTTAATAATTAACATAATAGTATATTAATGTTTACATATTTAATTAATTTGATCTATAATTATAAAAATAACTCTTAATATGTTTAAGTTTAATCTCGAATACCCAAAAAAAACTTCAATATTACTCTTTTTTTTTATCTCTTATTTCATTTTCCAGGTCTTTTAGAAAATTAGACTTAAAAGGACAAATATTATCTCCTAATTCTATTTTACTACCCCTAATTCTGAGATAAGGGTAGAGATTAACTCCTAAGAAGTGTAGTAAATCTAATGGTACTAAATAATTCATCCTACTACTACACCATTCCTTGACTAATTGTGTAATTCACAAAATATGGAATATAAAAGTATTATTATCATAATCATCTTTTCGTTAATAGGTAATAACGCAGTAAATAAAATCATCAAATTTGATGAAGAAATAAACTCATAATCAACCCATGATATCAATTTGGTCTAAATAAAATCATTATTCAATTCAAATTCATATTGATGGTTTAACTAATATTGGGTATAATTTCTTTTATTGAATTTATTATTTTTTTGCAAAAAATGCTGAATTTTGATAGCTTAAAACATAAAAAATATTGAATATAAGTCTTCCCTTTTTTAATTTTTTAGTGGGAGTTTAAGCTCTTTCTTTGAAGTTAGAACCAACACCCCTCGGTTCTTACCCACCCTTCCCAAACCACAGAAAATCTTTGCCCCAAGCAATAGCAAACCGATTGCAGCAAATTGTCTCATATACAACAAAATTAGGACCAGTACGCTCTACCCACATAAATTTAAAAAAAGAAATACATGACTTGATTAAAGAGCACCACTATGCACGCATATGTTAATCATAATTTCCTGGAAACAAAACAATTAAACGAATCCCATCCATCCCCTTCAATTAAATATATTTTAAACCTTTTAAATAATATAAAAGAATTCCTAAAACTAACAACTAGCAGGGAGCAACCTTTATGCCGGGTAATGGCAAGGAGAAGCACAATTTAACTGAGCTCTTTCATCTACTCCGCCTGTATATACCCGCTGGCCGGGCCAGCCCCTACCGCAATGGTGAACAAGTTAGAAGAGTTGCCACGACCACCAAATCGCCATTGTCATGCCCAGCACGTGGGCGCACGTGGAAAGTGATGATGCCGCACTCTCGTCCAAGGCACCTTCGTACACCATTGTGCCATTGATAATAGTTGTCGTTTCCGTGTTCTGCTGCTGCCCTTGTGATGATTTCTGGCTGCAATTTTACGTACCAGAAACTAACCGTTAAAAACATATCAACATAAGTTCACGTCTTCTCTAGGGATTTGAAAGAATTTATTTTATTCTATTTTATTACTGTACTTGGATGAGCGTGAGAGGACAAAATCATTAGTCTCAATTTGCGTCTATGAATGATTGAACAATGACTGTAATCTCAACGGTTACATGTATCAGCCCGTAAATGTCACAATGTGCCGCCGCCGACATAAGATTGCAAATTATTAGTTTCGTTTCATTTAGGACACAACTATCCTTTGACGTTTTCTGTGAAGTTGATAAGGGTAGTAAAGTAAAATTCACCTAGTGTTGGGCGAAGGGCAGAAAGTAATGGTATAATCAGCGTTGCCACATGTGAAGGTGCTGGTTTTGTCATCATACGCATAGCTGTAGGCGCGTGGGCAGGCTGTCTTGAACACCTCCGAGTACGCAGATGGTTTGCAAGTATCGGGTGTACCATACGCGCCGCTGCAACAGTACTGAGGGTCGCCGAATGCCTCGCAGGCACTCTTGCAAGCAACGCCATCTCTGCCGTCGGTGCTCATTACCTTCAGCTCCGAAGGGCAGGAGCCATTGAGGTCAACGACGCAGCCGGTGTTGGTACAGTTTTGGCCCGTGCCACCCTGCGGAGCCACCAACATAGGGATGTTGTATCCGTCGACCAAACTCACGTCGAAAAAATCAAGACCACCGGCACCATCCAAAGTGAATTCAGCCAAAGTTGCCGGCGGAGAAGCACCGTTCCCTGAACATTCTACCATCCCGGAACCACAATCAGCGGTGAGGCAGGAGAATTTCCCGGTGGAATCCTGGGAGCAATGGGTTCTACCCCAAAAGCGACCACCCCATGATGTCGGTGCGGAAATGGTCTTGGTTTCTCCGCTTTGGAGGGTGAAACCTGTTTCGGGAAGCGCTTGAACACCTGCGTTTGAGAGAATCCCAGGCCATACCACGTAATCGCATCTGTTTTCTATGGTGAAGGTGGTTGCTTTCACTCCTGTTAGAATAAATACATTGAAAATAATTTTTTCAGAAAATCAAAACTTGAAATTCAAAGTCCAGATATTTCAGTGTTTCGCAATGACTGTACTTACCTGATATGAATGAACGTGAAAGAAAGACAACACAGATAGCAGCAAAAAATGTAGACCGGGCCATCAAGAGAAAATTTTGAAAGCAGAATATTTTATATAATAAGAAGGATGAAGAGGACGTTGGGGGATGGGTAGTAGCACTTCTTCTTCAGAAATGGAGTGTGTTGAGATTCTGAAATGGTAAATGGCAATGGGTATTTATAGAAATATGTCATTATTTTATATATGTAATTGTGTTGTGAGATTTTAAATTTTTTATTTTGGTCTATATAATTTTATTTCTGATTTGGTCTCTATGATACAAAATAAATTGCAATCAAATTAAACACGCAGGCAGTTACCACCAACACCGATAATGTCAACGAAAATTAAAAATCAACAAAAATAAAAGATGTTGCCAGTTTAATCTTATTTTATAATTTAATCCAATTTTTTAAAAAATATTAGAGCATATAGTCCACGACTATTTATAATTTAATCAAAATCATCTTCAACTATCAACAATTTTATCTGTTATTATAACATTCATTATCGTATTTTCTTGTATAATTTTCTATGGTAATTCGTATTTCCTTTTTTACCCCTAATTTTATTAAAAGCAATTCAAATTTCACCATCATAATTATTATGTTTATTCTTAAAATTTCACATAAAAATATTTTATTATTTATTTCAGTGAGATTAAGAGATTAAATCAATTTTTTTGAGATTTTTCCTAACCATTGTTATCAGTAAATATTTTAAATATTTTATTATTTATTTTTAATACATGTCATGTCATCATCAAGTCAAATTTGTAATATTGAATGATTTAGAAACTACTAGCATTGATAAACGCAGAAGACTAACATATTGTTAGTCCAAACGGACTTCGAGAGTTAAATTGATGAAAAAATGATATGTGTGAAATTGATAAATTGGATTTACTATAGGGGCAACAGTACCCTTAAGCATTAATTTATTAATATAAAATTTTAAAATTAAATATATACACTCTAAAATTACATTTTAACCTTACACAATTAAATTCTAAAGTTGGGTTTAGTTATCAGATGAATAAATTCATGATGAGAGGGTAAGAATAATGTTAGCTACAAGAAACAAAAACAATGGGTAAATGCATTATGAGAATATGAGAATGATGTTAGCTACAAGAAATAAATAGTAAGTACCTCCATTTGGTGAAGTCATAAATTAAATAATTAATATAATGCTTCAATTTTAATTTTATAATAATTAGAATCTATCAATTAGCTTAAGTGGTTAAAGGGAATGTTATTCTTATAAGAGGTATTGAGTTCGAGTAATTGTGTTTGTAGGGTGTGTGTGCGTTATTAATAGTTAAGAAAGATTCTGAACAGATACTACATTGTAAGTACCTATACTCTTCAAAAAAAATTTATAAGAATTATAATCTTATTAATTTAATTTAAATAACCCATAGAGTAGAAAAAATTATAAAATTATAAATATTAATTATAAAATATAGTTTAAAACATCATAATACTTTTTTTTTATTTTTCTCAGCAGGCGACATTATTAATTTTAGTGCTGGTCGTCGATCATTGATATTACTTATTTTTTTATCTTTTATACCGTATTTATGTTTTTCTTTTTTATTATAGTTTATAATAATTATGTCTTTAGGTACGTTTTCCTCAGTCTTTTAGTATGTTCTTAGTTTTTTATTGATTGTTTGGACTTTACTTCGTTTATTTTCTTAGGGTTGGGTTTGACATTCGACTGATCAAGACGATGCTTATTTGTTATTCTATTGATCTTTCCTATTTTGGACTTTCGAATTAAATTTGCCTACGTTATTTGTGTTTGTAGATAATTTTCTAAAGACGTTCATCTCTGATTTGCAATTATCGATTTTCTTTAGTAGTTTGATCTCCTGTTGTGATTCGTTTTATCGATGCAGTCAGATCTGTCTGTATATTTTTATTTGAGTCTTTTTAATGGATTTTTAACCTTTTCCTTGTTTGATCATTGTATAATCTCAAGTGATTAGTTTCTTGTACCAATGATTACAGAAAATGACTTAATTATATGTTTAATTTACATTTATGTTTATAAACCTTAATTATAATTTTAGATATTTTCTCTTTTTAATAAAACTAACGGTTTCTATAAAAATAATATCATAATACTTACTAATGATGAATTTTAAACATAATGTTATAAAATTTTCTAAGTTAATCTTAAATTATTAATCTTCTCGTTAGATCAAAGCTTTAGTGAATATTTCAAGTGTCATGGTTTATACTTTATTAAGCAGAACCAAGTCAATTGCGGCTGGCTACATAGATGTTAATCCGGCCCCTCCATTAAAACATTTTAGTATGGTCGTAATATAAGACAAGAAAGAGGGTCTAACCTTATTTTCTCACTTAATTAGGACAAGGAAAGGGATAAGAGTCTTCTTCAGTTAGAATTGTCCTAGAACGCACGTTTTCCCACTTAATTTTCTCAAAGGTCAAACCTTGAAAGCAAAATCTCACTCGCTTATTTTTTAAAGTGAGTGGGTTGCTTAAATTATATCAAGTTCTATAACCCATTCCCCCACCCAAGAAATATTGTTGAAGTAGCTTTAGCGACTTGTTCATTTTGGTGCTACATAAACAACTGATGGTCAATTTCTAATTATTAGGTTTCAAAAAAGCACAATTGGTCTAACCTCAAAACAACTGCTCAGCATAGAATATATTATCTTAGTTAACTGCTAAATCTACCTTCATTTAAAAAATATATAGGGCTGAAATTTCCCATGGGGTAAAAGTAAGCTAATTTTGTTTGAATGCATATAACATAAAAATATGTGAGGCGCAGCCACCGCCTTAAACGACCAAGCAAATAGGATTTTATGCTTAATTTTGCAGTTAGAAAACCTCAGCACGCCAGCTTGGAAGACCGATAATGGGAAAGGGGTAATGGGGGTGTCCCGCGATTCTTAGTGTGTTTTTATATGTTTATTGGCAGTGGGTGGTTCTCGCTTACGGAGATACACTCAGCCTACGACCGTTCAAAACCAAGCTGTGAGAAGCACCGTGTTTAATTAAAAAGTGACCCTAATTTCTAAAGTTTCTAACTTCAGCGATTAGGATGTGGGCATTTTGCAAGCCTTAACATTGTGCGACAGGCAGGCGTCGTGCGTTTCAAAATAATATATATGCCTCTGTGCGTAAGAGGTCAACAATACGAAATCCCTCTTTATAAGCAATGATCGGCTGGCGGTTTTTAATTGCAACACATTTTAACTTTACATCGACAAATGTTGCTTAAACTAAGTTATTAGATCAGTCGACTTACAAAACAACTCGTGCGATTTTAAATTCATCAAAATAAAAAAAATCTATCAAAAATTTAGATAAATATAAAAGCGTAACACCAAAAGAGATCAATAAAGTCGTCGAAAGACTCACCAAAATAAGAAGAAAGATCAAAAGAGAGTTTAAAGCAAATACTTGTCTATTACTCAAGTAAGAGATGAATGATACAAAATGGGATATGAAAGTTCCGATCTATTAATCGGCTAATCTAGATAGGGTACTATAGAGGCGAGGGCGACCTTCCCAACCCAGCTTGTTCTATTCGCAAATGTCATGATTCGAACCCCTAACATTGCTTAAGGGACCTAGTGCCTTATCTCACTAGACCAACTGGTTGTTGGTTTTAACTATATATCTACTTTAATCCATGTCATGATTAACATAAACACCGTTCCTTTGTTTCAAATAAAATGATTTTGGATATACAATTCAGCATTGATTTTATAAATTTCCATTTTAACATTTAACTTTTGGGTTATTATGATATCTAAATTATCATTTTTATTATAATTTACTCAAAAAGTTATAATTTAAAAAACCAAAAAAAATATTTTAACATGATGATAATATCCACTACATATCACATTTTTGTTAGGTAATATCATAATTTTAAATGATAAGTATTAACGTTAATTTAAAAAATATTCAAATACCAAAGTGAAGAAGATGGAATAAAATTTAAGAACCAAATCCTGAATTAAGCCAATAGGTTTGGCCAAAAAGGATTTGTCGCCACTTGCCCCTCTTGAAAATCCCATTTTAGTCCTCTTAAATTAACTTTTTTTTCCTTTCTTTTTGTCGTTTAGAATTGTCACATTTCAATTTGGTTTTTCTGATAGATGCGAAAACCTAACCTTGTACGACAATCACCTCGTGGACTTATGCAAAGAAATTTGTCTATGTGGTCGGTATTAGACCCGTCTATTGGTCAATTGGTCCACTTGACCCGATTCAAATTAGATTTGGGTGGAGAAAGTTAGATTAATTAGATTCCATCCGTTTAAAATATTTAAATAATTTAAAGATTATATGATTAGAGTACGTAGATAGACGCTCTTAATTGACATATTCTTTTTTCTAGGTTATAGGTTCAATACCTATTAGGAGTAAAATTCTCTTTCCCACTCAAATAAGTAGGAACTGTTATAATTAAATATTTAATAAGTCGTTATTTTAAACTTAAATAATTTATTATTTTTAATATTTGATCCTATTTATATATGTATGCATGCATGTGAAACATCTTAATTTTGTACCATCGCTCGCGCCTAAAATAAGTGATTTTAGAATCCAAATGCTACTACACCTCCTGCTATGTGGCTGAAAACCCAAATTGTTTACGTGTAAACAACTACTACGATGTTAATAGTTTCCTTTTCTTTTATGCAAATAGAGGTACGTAGCTTGTTTTATTTTAAAAAATATAATATTTAATATTATAATGAGCGTACAATTAGGATATATCTCTATAACCATTAACATGATAAATTAGCCATTTGAAATCATATACCAAAAAATATATTAAAAATCTATTTAAAAAATTCAAATAAAAGATAGAAAAAAAATCATAATGATCAGCTGTTTCAACAAATATGAATTCATATTTTGCAAAACCGAAACATCAAGTCAATGACTGGAAGCACCCGAAATTGATGTCATTGTGATGTTTGTATCATTCCAATAATGGAAGGAGGAAAAGAATATTTAAGAAAGAATGATGAATTTGCCTACTGTTTTATTTGGGTTTTTCTTCGGCCTTAATTGATTTAAATTTGATATTTGGATGTTGGATTTGGAGTTTTGATAAGTTTGGGCTTTATTTGAATATTTTAGTAGGTTGGGTTTTTAAACATTTATAAATAAAAGAAACATCCAGCCTAAATTTAGTAATGAGAAAACACTGAGACGTAGGAATCTCAATTTTTCTATCAAGTAAAAAGATATTATATTTTAAAAATTAATATCAAGATTTAAATTTATATAAGATGAAATAATACAAATACTTTTAATCAATTGATCAATTAATAGATCTCGATTTAATAATTTCATTAAACGTAGACACAACTAGAGATGGACCGAAAGAAACGGATAGAGATAATTAGAAGAGTCAAATTTCATATTTCTATTAAAAAATAGAATAATATATTTATAAATTATTAACCTATAAGACATGTAAAAATTAATTTGAAGTATTGAATTTGCATGCACAAGATTTAAGTCTAACTTTTGTGTAAAGTTTAATGTTTTTGTTTTTTCTTATTTGTGATAGTAAAAATAGTAAATAATTTAATTGATATAAAAATATCTTAACTGTTATAAATTACCTTTAGTTTATTTTATATTTATTAAAATTTTAAAATATTATGTAATTATTATCATTTAAAATATATTATCTATATAAATTTTCTCAACTATATATTGGTAAAGATAAAAGTCTAAGCCAGTAGTTTTAACTTTTAACTTTTTCTCTGTGGTCTAAATCCCACAACGACCAGCGAGAAAAGCAAGGAACCGAGACTTTGTATAAAGTAGATACGCGTCTACGGAAATATCCATGATCCTTCAGGCAGTAAACGGGACATGATGAGTGGTTATTACCTGCAATCGTTGCGAGATGGGTGTCCGCCCCAACGCCTGGTTACGACATTTGGGCACTCCCAACTCAACCACCTGATCCCAATCTTGAGGGAAAATCCTCTAAACCAGTTCCAAAATTTAGTTTTACCTCGTTTTTGGAAATAAAATTGGGTTTCATATAGCTTAATATTTTCACTAAGCAAATCAAATCTTAATTGGATAGTTGGGCAAGTAAACACACCAGATAATTGATTCGTTGTTCATAGCACAGCAATGGGTTTCTAAAACCCAAAGCAAACCATCAACGTGAGTAGACATACGCAGGCAACGCCCTGAATGCAAGTCTTCTCCATTGTAACCTCGCTAGCAAAAGCAGCATAATCCATTGAGCCGGGGTCAGTACCCCCGAAAGGCTGATTGATGCTAGAAAATGGCCCAACAGAGGCTGGTTAATGCCTTGTTGACCAGATTGCTTCCCATTGCTGCCGACAACAGGTTTGAGAAATGGAACATTGGTAATAGGAGTAGCAGTGGGAAGGGAATGTAGCGTTTTTCCCTTCATTTTGAGGAGCTGCCTTATGGTTTGCAGTTGCTTCAGCCTTGCCTGATGTAACCATAATTGAGAAAGACAGTAGCGCAAGAAAGAAGAGACATGGGCTGCTGTGAATTTTGATGTTCTAGGACTTGGATGGCGTATATAGAGAATGGAACCTGTGTGGGAGTGGAACTTAAATGGAGCAGTTAGAAGTAGGAATGTAATAAACAAAGCAAGGATTACAGTACATTCAAAAAGGCCAAAAACTGTAACAATATTAATGTGCTGAGTAACCCATTACAAAATGCGATAAATTAAAATTAATAGGAAATAAAATAAAAGATATCAACTTTATTCACATTGATGGTTTTAATTTATAAAATTAAAAATTGAATATAATTATTTATAAATATAATATTAAAATGTTAAAAGGTAAACTATCTATTTGGTATCTCACCTATTCTTGTGTTTTTGTTTTGGTTACCTAACTTTTTTTTGATAAATTCATACATAATATTATGTTTTATTTTTATTTTAATCACTAACTATTGTTTTTCAATTAAAATTTAACAGAAATGGTGACACAACCTGAGATAATCATAATTTTAGTCCCAAAATGTACACATACTGTTAATTTATGTTATAATTCAAAATAACTTATAAAAAATTTGGATCAAACCTTAATTTTATTCCTCCTCTTTTTTGTTCTTCCTATGTGAAAAAAATTGTATCTGTTGTTGCTGTGGAGTTAAAGAATTTGGTGGGTGAAGTGAGCAGGTTCTCAATGCAAAAAAATGCAAAATTAGAGAAGGGATTATCAACTACCATAGAGTTGGTAAATTTGAGAGGTTCTTCTAACCAAACTATCAATGGTGTAAATTGCAGGTATAGTGACAGCACCATCTGGGAGGAAGAGGCGACTCTTTAGTCCTTCTCAATACTTATGTGTGCAGTTAGTGAGGATTTTAATTTTCTTGCTGTGAATTGCAATCAAATAAAACATAACATTAAATAGAAATAGAAATAAAACATAACATTAAATAGAAATAGAAATATGAAAATAGATAGAATATCAAATAGGTAATTTACTCACTATAAAAATATAGCTATAAGCCAGAAAATCAGAAATGTAATATACATTGTTGTCAATTCCAATACGGTATAATGGTATTGGTCGATACCCTCCATATTGGTAATAAATCAAAACTACGAAGCTTATAATTCATCAGCTAATATTTTAATATATTTTAACTCTTTTAAGCTAATATATTATTTTTGGTTAATTTCATTTTCATTACCCAAAAAAACAGGAAATCTGCTACATGAAACAACAACTTAGCACTTGTTGTGAACCATCACAAACAGCATAAGAACAATAGAACTAGTTCACCCTAACTTAAGAGATACCCCATTTTACACAGAGGGAATCATTTCTCGGATCAGTTCTGCTGATAGTCCAACCTTCCAGCTGAATATGAACAGTTTCTTTAACATCTTTCAGCACATCATCCACCATTCGTTTTTTACCCCAAAAAACTTGCTATTTATCTCCTTCCAAATGCCATACACATGACTAGCCCAAGCAAGTTTAAACACTCTCACAAGGAGAAACTTTCCTTTAAAGCAATGAACAACCCATGCCAACTCCCTATCCCAATTGCTAACTGTATGATTTACACCACATAAAGTAAGGATAGCACCCCACAACTCCCTCGCAAAACCACAATCAAAGAACAAATGATCTTTAATCTCAGCCTCAATACCACAAAGCAAACACTTTTTATTTTCTATATCTAATTCCATTCTCAAAAGCCTTACCCGAGTAGGAAGTCTATCTAAGATAGCCATCCACACAATGATGTTATGCTTTGGGATACGCCTGGAAACCAAACCAAATAATGCCATGGGACCTTTGGAACTTTAATGCGCATATCTTCCCAAATCTACCCCATTTTAAGGTCTCTATCCTTACCAACAAATAGGTGAGAAACAACATGCCTCAATTTCAAGATACTTTTGAATCTCCAACTGGCATTAATGGGAATACTCATCTGCCAAAACTCAACATTCTTAATCACATAAGTGTGGATCCAAGCCACCCAGAGAGAACATTCATTAGCCAATAAGTTTCTGAAGAATTGCACAATACATGCTTTATTCCAGCCTCCTATATCTTTTACACCCAGACCCCGTCAGATTTCATTAAACATACTTGTCTCCAACTTAGTCGAGCACCCTTTGCAGGCAGGTCAGACCCCTTCTAGAAAAACCGAGAGCATAATTGCTTGATTTTCCTAATTATCGCTTGTGGCAGAATAAACTGTCTACACCAGTAATTTTCTATACTGAATAAAACAACACAAACAAGTTGCAGTCTTCTAGCAAATGTGAGATGTCTATTAGCCCATAAATCCAACTTTGCCTTTATTTTATCAATAAGGCTTTGGCAATCCTTCACAGCAAGTTTTATAGTCACCAATGGAACACCCAAATATCTCACAGGGAGTTTTCCCAATTTAAATCCAATAATCTCCCTTATAGTAGCACACTGCTTAGCAGATACCCCAACTATGTATATCTCACATTTGCTAGCATTTAACTTCAAGCTCGACATGGAATAAAAAATATCTAAAACAGTTTGCACACCAATGATAGAATCGATTGAACCTTTGCAGAATATGAGTAGATCATCAGCAAAAAAAGGTGGGTGAGGCCAATCCTTTTACACTTAGGATGAAAATTAAAATTCCCCTCAAAGCAACCACATTCAGTAGACTAGACAGAACATTCATAGCAAGGACAAAATATATGGTGAGAGGAGATCACCTTGCCTAACACCTCGAGCACCCCTAAAATAGCTAACTAGGCTACCGTTAAACAATATAGAATATCTGGGGTTTGTAAAACATGCCCAAATTCAACCAATGAATTTCTCAGGCAGTCCCAAAGCATACAAAATAACACCTACAAACTCCCAATTTAAAGAGTCTTTTTGTAAATAAATTTTTAGAGCACATCTTGGGGAGATATTTTTCCTAGTGTAACCCCTAACAATCTCTTGAGCAAGTAGTGTATTATCTACTATACTCATCCCTTTCATAAAAGCAGTCTTGTTCATGGAGATCATACTAGGAAAAAAAACAGACAAACGACTCACTAAAATTCTTAGAACAGTCTTATAAATCACAGAGCAACAAAAAATAGGTCTAAAATCCCTAACCATATTCGGGTTAGGCACCTTTGGCACAAGAACAACATCCGTTGCATTAAAAGAAGGCAACATAAAAGAGTTATCAAAACAGTACCTGATGGTAGCCTTAAAATCATCCCCCACTATAGGCTAAGCTCTCTTGAAAAAAAGGATTATAGCCATCTGGACCAAGGGATTTGTCATTCCCTTGCCCCCATATGGATTCCTTTATCTCAACATCAGTGATTTCTATGCATAAAGCATCTGTAGCACCCATAGGCAAGGAGTAATCAAGAAGATCTTTAATCAATTTGACATTACAACCCTTAACATCCGGGTCATCCACACCCAATTAGTTTTTTTTAAAAAAAGTAATCACCTCATTAGACATGTCATCACAAGTATATAGCCTAGTTCCATTTTGATCATAGAGAACCCGAATTGTACTACTCTTCCTCTTACTAGCCACCATAGAGTGAAAGAATCGAGTTCCTTGATCGCCATCTCTAATCCAATTCACTTTCGCTTTTTGCTTATAGAAAAGCAATTCTGCCTCCTCAAGAACTTTCAATTCCTTCTCAACTTTCAACTCAACATTAATATTGTTTCTAGCAATATCAGAATCCAAATTGGCTAGCTGAATTTTTATTAGTTCTTCTCTCTTTTGCTTAACCTGACCCAAAATGTCACTAAATCGAGCCCTATTAAGCTCTTTGAGACAGGTCTTCAACCTTTTAAGTTTTTGAAAAAGCACCTGAGCTGGATTCCCTGCAACCGGGGCCTGCCAAGACTCCTCAACTATAGTCATAAAATATGGATGCAACAACCAAAAATTGAAGAACTTAAATGGCTTAGGTCTAGCTATAGGAGCTTCTTTGTGCAACTATACTAGAGCAGAGCAATGATCTGAATCACCTGGAGCTTGGAATTCAACATTTGAGTTAGGAAATGTTCCAATCCAGTTCGAATTTACAAGTACATGTTTCAATTTACGTGCCAGGTAAGTTTCTTACTGTTTGTTCAACCAGGTAAACAGAGGACCAGTAAATGGATGATCAAAAAGCCCTAACTCCTCCACACAACTTTGAAAATTAGAAATATCAGTATTTGCTCCAACACTAATAGGAACCTAACTTTCCTAAGCTTTTAAAATGACATTGAAGTCCCCTCCTATCAACCAAGGCATAGTACCCACCATACTTTCCACAGAACTCAATTGATTCCATAGTTACCTACGATACATCCTCATTAGAACCATAAACCGCAGTTACACAAATATATTTTCCACTAAAAGTGCTCTTGATAGAAACACTTTGGTCAAATACAGAGAAAACAATGCAACTCAAACCTTTTCGCCAAAGAACCCAAAAGCGACT